GATGTGCCAGAGATCTCTCCCCTCTCCCCCAAGAAGCCCACAGTGCTGGTCTCCTCCACAGTGACCTTCCTGGAGATACCCCCCCAGAATAGGATTAGCCCCCCCAGAAGTGCACAGGACCATGGCCCCCGAGGGGGTCTGGCTTTCAATATGCACCATTTTCCATGCGTGACATGGGACTAAGAGGATCACAGGCCGCGGCCAGCAGCCTTGGTGTGGTGCGGGGGGGTCCAAGGAGCGGGCCCGCAGCACCGCCCCAGCAGGCACCGAGGGAAGCAGACAAAGCCCTTCTCGCCAGCCTCAGGTGACAGCTCCTGATACAAAGCAGCGACCAGGGAGCGGGGCCTGCCCATTGTGCGGCGGGAACCCGAGCCCGAGGAGCGGAAGGAGATTGCAAAGCCGGTTTCAGAGGGTGGTTGCAGCTTTCATCTGTGGCGCCCGTGAAATCTGACCCCGCCCCTCCCCCGCGCAGAAAACTTTTCCATTGTTGAAAACTCATTTTCTCCCGTCCCCTTTCCGGTCCTGATTCACTGTGATTTATTGTCTGTGTGACATGGCTGCAGGCTTCCTAGTCTGAGTAGAAGCAGGGCAGCTGAGAGTCAGGACTTCTGGGATCTGTTTCATCCCTGATGGGCTGGGAGACCGGAGGTGAATGTATCCGTGCCTCAGTTTCCCCATCTGCAAAACAGGGATAATAGTCACCAGTGTTTACAAAGGCATTTTGAGATTCCCAGCTGGAAGGTGAGTCATGAGACTGTTCAGTGTTCCTGTGTATGAATAGGGTCAGTAGACAGCATAGTGAAGACAGACTGAGTTTGTTGTCTCCCAGATTTTTTTTAAGGTCTTCTTTTTCTGCCAGCCAATGCTGGATAGTTAAAAATGAACCCAACCAACACGTGTTAGCTGTTATGACTGTGTTAGCACCGAGTGGCCACAATCAAACGTCATGGCCCCATTAGATTCCAGTCTGGAAGGGACTGCTGTGATCAGCTAGCCCGGTGGCCTGGATAACAGGCCAGGGGATTTCTGTCAGTTAATTCCTGCCTTAGGTCAAACAGCTTGTGGTTGAACAAAAATGGATTTTTTTACCTGAGAACTCAAGAACATCCAAGCTGGACCAGACCAAAGGTCCATCTAGCCCAGTGTCCTGTCTTCTGACAGTGGCCAATGCCAGGTGCCCCAAAGGGAGTGAACAGAACAGGGAATAATCAAGGGATCCCTCCCCTGGCAAACAGAGGCTAGGGACACCATTCCTACCCATCCTGATTGTGAGGGGGTCACTCACCACCGTAGCAGGGGTCCGTCATCTGTCACCGGAATCAGTCTATTCCGCCCGCACGGGCCTCCGCTCACGTGGCGTTTCCCCTCTGGAATCCTCCGATCACGTCGTTCTCTTCGCCACACTGCCCTCCGGCAGTGCCCAAGTCACTCGCTCTGAGCCCCCCTTCCGGGGGTTGGTGTCTTTCCAGCAGGCCTTGCCACAGGCCTAGCAGGCTGGCCGGTTGGCTGTCCAAGCACCCTGGCCCAGCCTAGCTCTCTAGCCCTGCCCTAGCTCCAGGGAGCATCCTGCTCCCTCGGCAGCCAGGCTCACACTGCCTTTGCTGAAGCAGCCCTTCCCTTTTATAGCTCCCAGCTGGGCCTTAATTGGCCAACGCCGCCCAGCTGGGCTGAACTCCCCGGGCCTGCTCCAGGCTGGGGTTTGGCTCCTAAAGGGCCAGTACAGGGCAGCTTCCCTGCTACACTGATTAATAGCCATTGATGGACCCGTCCCCCATGTATTTATCTAGTTCTTTTTTGAATCCTGTTATTGTCTTGGCTTTCACAATATCCTCTGGCAAGGAGTTCCACAGGTTGGCTGTGTACTATGTGAAGAAATGCTTCCTTGTGTTTGTTTTAAACTTGCTGCCAATTAACTTCATTTGGTGACTCCTCCTTCTTGTGTTATGGGAAAGATAATCAAGCCAGGATTTAAAGATTTCCAGTGTTGGAGATTCTACCTCAACCCTGATAAATTGTTCCATGTTTATTTACCCTTCGTACTGAGAATACATGCCTTATTGCTAGCCTGAATTCATCTACCTTCAGCTTGCAGCCATTGGATCTTGCTCTGCTTTTGCTAGATTATAAAAGGCCCCTAACTATCAAATGTATGATCCCAATATAGGTACTTCCAGAGGGATCAAGTCACCACTTAGGGTGACTTTCTCTTTGAGAAGCTAAATAGATGGAGTTCCTTGGGCAGGCTTTCCAACTCTTGAATCATTCTTGTGGTTCTGCTCTGAGCCCTCTCCAATTCTTCAACATCCATCTTGAAGCACAAACAATCACAACTGAGTACTGGGAACTTTACATACATTTAATGAAAAACCAGAGGTTACAGCCTAAGGCTCCGACTCAGGAACACAGTCAAACTCATGTCAAATTTCATCCCTGCTCCGGAAAGCCATGCTTAAATAAGTTCCATGGCCTTCCATGGGAATTCAGCATGTACGTGAAGTTAAACTTATTCTTAAATGGTGTCCAAATAGGGAATTGTGGCTAACGGGCTTGGTCCTGTTCCCATTCAAATCAATGGGAAAAATATCCCATTAACTTCAATTTTGGAGGACCATAAGTAACCGTTTTTCTAGATCTCCTTTTCCTGTCACGTGTTTTTGTCTTCGTTTTCTTTCTTTCTTTCTTTCTTTCTTTCTTTCTTTCTTTCTTTCTTTCTTTCTTTCTTTCTTTCTTTCTTTCTTTCTTTTGCTACTTCTCCACATCCTTCTGGAGAGGGAGAGCATAAGGAGGAACCAGTCTGATTTCCTGTGTAAACAAAATCGGAGAGGGGGGGCTTATCAGTGATCTCTTCCTATCTCTCTAGTAAATGAATAAAAAGCTATGTGTGTGGCTGTGAAAGCCAGTGCAAGCCAAGCACTGTTTAGTTTGGAAGGGATGTTAACAAAAGGGGTGGGGGGTCTTCTGTATCCACATAATAGAGGCCGGATGTCGAATATTTACATTTTGCCGGGAGTTATAGGCCACACTGAATATGGGATATGTGTTACCATATTTACGGCAGCTGTGATAGTCACTGAACAAGGCAATGCGCGGGAGGTGTATTGAGCTGTGATTACATGTATTTAAATAATAAGACCTAGATTTTTAAAGGCATTTCAGTGTCCCTTTGCTCAGCATTGTAGCAGCTGATGGATTTAGGAGCCTAAGACCCATTTTCTAAAGTGCCTTATGACAAGATATTCACTATGGCCCAGATCCTCAAAGGGATTTAGGGGCCCAACTTCCCTTAATTTCAATTAGGAGCCTGAATACCTCTGAGGGTCTGAAACTCTGCCCCTTTTAAACTGTTGGCCGTTCAGGCTGATTCACACCCACGCCACGTCTAGACTGGCATGATTTTCCGGAAATGCTTTTAACAGAAAAGTTTTCTGTTAAAAGCAAAAGAAAAGTTTTCCATTAAAAGCATTTTCGGAACAGAGCATCTAGATTGGCACGGACGCTTTTCCACAAAAGCACTTTTTGCAGAAAAGTGTCCATGGCCAATCTAGACGCGCTTTTGCGCAAAAAAGCCCCAATCGCCATTTTCACGATCGGGGCTTTTTTGTGCAAAACAAATCTGAGCTGTCTACACTGGCTCTTTTGCGCAAAAGTTTTGTGCAAAAGGGACTTTTGCCCGAACAGGAGCAGCATAGTATTTCCGCGAGAAGCACTGATTTCTTACAGTAGGAAGTCAGTGCTTTTGCGGAAATTCAAGCGGCCAGTGTAGACAGCTGGCAAGTTTTTCCGGAAAAGCGGCTGATTTTCTGAAAAAACTGGCCAGTCTAGACACAGCCCCAGTGAAACTATGCTGACGGGGGTGTGATTTCTGTTACTGACAGTTACACTAGTACAATCCAAGGGATTGGTTCAAAGGTGTCTTGTTC